ATGCAATGAAAGCATGCAGAAGCTTCAGCCATAAACCTTGTGTTGTTGGTGAGATAGTTAATTTATTGCTTGATCTTGAACAAGAAAAAGAAGATTAAGCATAATTGCATACCAGCGGAAGTTTTTGGTGTTAAGCATAAAGTTGACTGAATATTAGAAGTCAGCTTGCAGCTGAAAAATTCTTCTGTCAACAAAACATTGTTTTACTTATAGATTTGATAAATGACTAACTTTAAAAAAAACAATTTTAAAATGGCCACAGAAACGTATACTAGCTGAAACACCTTAAATACTTTGGTAAATCTTATATGTAAAAAAAGTGAAAAAGCAACAACAAAATAAGAATGTATAATGTATAAATGTTTCAGTGTCTGTACAACAACGTTTCTTCCATACAATTATGATTTTGTTATAGTTATATCATTTGTGCTTCTTTTATTTAAATATAACAAAATAAATATCAACGCCATTTCGTTAGCTTTGCGATTTTATACATGCACAGTCCAATTTATCGAACAATTAATAACGTTATTCTTTGAACAAAGGTACACATATGTTTCCTGATACAGACAGCCCAAAGTAGTTTCATAACTTAATATATATTAATTTAAATATGATTGAGAATTTAATGCAATTTATATCCATATTAATCACTTTTGAGTTCTTGGAACAAAGAAACACATTTAACCCATTGCTTCATGAGCATTTTGTGAAAAATGGCTGTTTTCATTGAAAAGTCTTCCGTTACAAGTTCAAATTGCTATAATACTATAAAAACTGCTTCAACATTAATCAAACTTGGCACAAATGATGACTGGACCATTGCCCTTGCAACAACATGCTCAGACTAAAATTTTCTGTTACCATGGCAACGAGGGGACATCTCAAAATTGCCAAAAATCACTATTTTGCTTGATTTTTTCCATCAAAATTGATTTCAAAGTGCTGCAACTTCTCAATGGATTGAGATACAGTCAAATGCTTTTCAGCGTTGGTAACACGTTACCTTATGATCAATCTGGGGTCATTTACAGCCTCTCACAAGTCCAAAATTTTCTTGGCGATGAGGGGGACTCCGCCCCCCTTCAAACCCCCCCAAACAGAAGGGGGCACATCCCCCTTCTGGCAACCCCCTGATGTATCTTTTGGTTGGGGGGGCCGCGCCAAAAAAGAGGTCACTTTTTTTAACAACATTTCTCAAACAAAAACAAGTGTTTGGGGCCTAAATAAGGCATTTTTTCATCATTTGAGACAACAAAAAAGGGAGGGGGTGAAAAAGGCGTTAAAAGGCGTGTATATGAAGTAATGGGTTAACAGAAAATGATGAAAATACTTGAAATTACTCTAAATCGCGTTTTTTCATGTTTAAACATGGCCTGTCATATAAATTTGATGAAAAATTGTTGTTTTGCAGAATTTTTTATTTTTTTCATTAACCCATTGCTTCATGAGCATTTTGTGAAAAATGGCTGTTTTCATTGAAAAGTCTCCCGTTACAAGTTCAAATTGCTATAATACTATAAAAACTGCTTCAACACTAATCAAACTTGGCACAAATGTTGACTGGACCATTGCCCTTGCAACAACATGCTCAGACTAAAATTTTCTGTTACCATGGCAACGAGGGGACATCTCAAAATTGCCAAAAATCACTATTTTGCGTTGATTTTTTCCATCAAAATTGATTTCAAAGTGCTGCAACTTCTCAATGGATTGAGATAGAGTCAAATGCTTTTCAGCGTTGGTAACACGTTACCTTATGATCAATCTGGGGTCATTTACAGCCTCTCACAAGTCCAAAATTTTCTTGGCGATGAGGGGGACTCCGCCCCCCTTCAAACCCCCCCAAACAGAAGGGGGCACATCCCCCTTCTGGCAACCCCCTGATGTATCTTTTGGTTGGGGGGGCCGCGCCAAAAAAGAGGTCACTTTTTTTAACAACATTTCTCAAACAAAAACAAGTGTTTGGGGCCTAAATAAGGCATTTTTTCATCATTTGAGACAACAAAAAAGGGAGGGGGGTGAAAAAGGCGTTAAAAGGCGTGTATATGAAGTAATGGGTTAACAGAAAATGATGAAAATACTTGAAATTACTCTAAATCGCGTTTTTTCATGTTTAAACATGGCCTGTCATATAAATTTGATGAAAAATTGTTGTTTTGCAGAATTTTTTATTTTTTTCATTAACCCATTGCTTCATGAGCATTTTGTGAAAAATGGCTGTTTTCATTGAAAAGTCTTCCGTTACAAGTTCAAATTGCTATAATACTATAAAAACTGCTTCAACACTAATCAAACTTGGCACAAATGATGACTGGACCATTGCCCTTGCAACAACATGCTCAGACTAAAATTTTCTGTTACCATGGCAACGAGGGGACATCTCAAAATTGCCAAAAATCACTATTTTGCTTGATTTTTTCCATCAAAATTGATTTCAAAGTGCTGCAACTTCTCAATGAGATACAGTCAAATGCTTTTCAGCGTTGGTAACACGTTACCTTATGATCAATCTGGGGTCATTTACAGCCTCTCACAAGTCCAAAATTTTCTTGGCGATGAGGGGGACTCCACCCCCCTTCAAACCCCCCCAAACAGAAGGGGGCACATCCCCCTTCTGGCAACCCCCTGATGTATCTTTTGGTTGGGGGGGCCGCGCCAAAAAAGAGGTCACTTTTTTAACAACATTTCTCAAACAAAAACAAGTGTTTGGGGCCTAAATAAGGCATTTTTTCATCATTTGAGACAACAAAAAAGGGAGGGGGGTGAAAAAGGCGTTAAAAGGCGTGTATATGAAGTAATGGGTTAACATAATTTATAAAGAATTATTGTCGTTGCCAAGGAAGTGCTCGACTCCATGATAACGTTAAGACTCGAGTAGAATGGGCAATACTTATTATGCATATTATATAGATTTTATTCAGGTAAATTGAAGAAGGTCTTACACCCATAAGGACAACTTGCATGTAGTTACAAATAAGCAACAAATTAACATAAAATGCACACATGTATCAATGTATAAAAAAATCAGTAGTTCTGTACATGTTAAATATTTTAAAATAATGATTATTATCTGCCATAATTCATCCGAAGTGTATATTAACATACAAATGTACTATTTCTGTAAAAAATACAATGCACAGTAGTATAATTTCTTTAATACCATAACATGTTATTATTGCATACATGTACTAGCACATTGTAGCAAATTGTATGACTGCTGTGTCTACTAAGCATCATTCGGAAAATTCTACGTGATGAAATAAATAAATAAGTTAATTATATAATTAACAAGGAATCTCTGTTATATAAATTAATTGGAGTTTAAAAAAAACGAAAGTACATGTCAATGTATAATAGATTTATTAGCATCTTAACGTAAGTAAGGGTTATACACTTTTTTTACTAGTGTCAAATTGAAGGTGTTAGGGGTGCGGATTGGAACTTGCACTTTCCAGTACAGGTTAATCAAACCGAGGCTGTAATATGTTCAATTTTGTCGTTTTGGGCGTTCTTCAGAAATTCCGTTTTTCTCTATTTCAAATACATTTTAAACACGCTTCTAACAGGTTTTCTTTTACTGCGAAGAGTAAGAGCAATTTAAGTTATGGTTGAACTTCAAACAACTTCCTTTTAAGTGTTTAAATCTTTTAATTTAAATTTTATATTTACGAAGTTAAATTAAAGATTGCAAAACGGTTTTTTAGTATTGTTCATATGTTAAAATAAAACTTAAAAAATTAACCATGAAATATTTGAAAAAGGAGAACAAAGGCCAATAAAGACTTTAATCCATTTAAAATATCACAGTCACCATATCAAAGAAACAACACAAGATGTATTGGAGAGATTTCATAAACTTAATTAAAGACTCATTTAGTAGACTTAATTAGTTTTTCTTTTAAAGTATCATTTTGTTTGCTTTTATTTCATTTTTGTGTTTTTTCATGTTTTGCTTAAATAAAATTGTTGTTTTGAAGTTATTTCAGGTTTTATTCGAATGGATTATATATTTACTTCATATTGCGAACGCTTCCCAGAACAGAAATAATCCAAATTTTGCAATAAACGGTTAAGTTTTGACAGATATTCCCGGATTTCTTTAATTATTTATTGAATGTATGTCATGATTTAATCTTAAAATAAAGATATCCATATTATTGTTTATTTGTGCTTTTATTCGATGGACATCATGAAATCTCAACTGAAATATATGAATAGTTTTTAATATTTACATAACCGAAATTTATTTAACCAATAACTTACTGATATTTAAGAAAAAGTCTTATATTTAACAGTCAGGTCACTAGTACGCACTAAGAAGTAGCTCGGACCACTGTCTAAGTACTGGTATTGTTAAAATCGCTACCTGAAAACACAAAATTGATTGTTGAAAGATCATTATATTAGCATTTAGGGGTATTTCGTTTTACGACGCAAATTATTTTAATTATACGCTTTAAAACAAAATACAGTTAATTCCATTTTGCTGTTCACTGCTCCATATCCCAGGCGAGGTGTAATTTCCCCCTTTTAATGATGGAATATCTCTTTCAGTGAAACAAGAAAAGATAAAAAAAAATCCACATATTCATGTTATTTCCTTTACTAAAAACTGTGATAATAAGACGTTTTACGACTGCTTATGTTCATGCATCATCTTGACCTGTACTTAACCATCAAACGGAATATCATGCATTTAATCAAAGAGTCACATTGTTTCTTAGATATCAGATATTTTTCTTGATTAACTGTATTGTCCACTACGAAAACGTATATCTTAAAAGACTTAACATGAAATATTGCTCGTCTCGTAGGTTAATGCCTACTGAAAAGTTATCGGGTAGATGAACAAGTAATTTATAAAGGCATTCTTAAAATATATCTATAGTTTCTAAATTCGTTAAGCACTATTGCTGCTATTGGCAAAGCTGTTTATTCCTCTATCGGACTTTTTTCTCTTTGTTTCCTTTTCTTTGATTAGGTATTTATATCTGCTATCGTTATCATTTGTTGTCGGCGATATTCCGCGCAACATTTTGTTGTTGATATACTGTATCGGCAAGTTCATTCGCTTGTCAATATTTGTGACGGGAATATTCTGTCAAAGTTGCATGAAACTTTTTAAAAAAGGTGACAATATATTCAAAGGTGGAGAAGAGCAAGGCAAACCATTGGCATTAACAAAATTAAGAAGTCATGGAAGAAATAGGAGTGTAGAGTAAAACCCCACGAGGAGACAAATTGAGAATTAACGGCTGCAGAAACATAAATTTATGAAATTGTGTTTTGTTAAAACAGATTACTTTGCCTTAGATATATTTATTTTCGTAATAAAAAGACAGATTCGAAATTTTTCCAGGATACTAATAATGTTATCATTGTATAATTGTGATGTAACTTCTTAATTAAAGTGTAAAGGGCATACACTGACAGGATTTGATCAGTCTGTTTCTTTTTTCTTACTGAAGATTTTTATTTCTCGATTTAACGGAAAAGGGAATAAAGAGGTTAATCATTTTTGCTTTTTTTATAAAGCTATTAAATAAGTTTCTCAAAATAGTTATTCTTCAGAAATGATTTTAAATATTTTGATACAGACATTGTAACACCAACACATAAAGAGAAAGACGAATTAAGATGATGTGCTTGTGCATAATAAAATTATATAATGCTCGTGTCATTTCCTTAGATGAAATGTAAAATTACGTATGCATAATTCTAAGAAACTATTTCTTAGAAGTTTATCGAAATGGGACCACTGTCAATTTAAATTCATAGCAAAAAAAGTATAAACGAAGAGCTAGAGAATCTTCACTCGTAATAAATCTGTCATTTCTTTGGCTTTTATTACAAGAATGTCGGAACTTAAAAAGACATGAGACTGTCAATTTTGGAAAGAATATTCAAACAATTGTAACATTTGTTGCATCGCTGTAAAAGGACTTAACAAGTACGTCTTTTGATTGTGTTATTAATATGTACCTGTGACTTTTTCAAGCACTCAAATATAGTCGATTATGCCTTCTTCAAGAATTCTTCAACTTCTGCAATTTGCAGGATTTATTTCAGGTAAGTCATTTATTTAAACGATCTTCTAAAAATAGTTTTGTGAACGGCAAGTTGCCGAGAAAATGAAATTATCACTGTAAAGCTTAACTTGACATATTCATAATTTGTTCAAATGTGGACATATAAAAGTAAATTATATTTTTTTTAAAGAATAACAAAAGATAGAGGCTTTCTTGGTACATTTATTAGAAAATAATTAATTAACAAAATAATAATAAACGTATCCTCTAAATGTTAATTCATGGCATGTTTGATTTCTAAAGGCAAACTTATGTACTTGAACATGTTTTCACACAATTGTCAAATTGAATTGATTATTTGCAAATAACAAAAAAACTATCATTCCCAAAATTATCTGGAATATTTCCATTTCGTGTTTGATGAAGTAGTTTATCCTAAATTGATTCTAGATTAGGATTTTCATATTTCTTATCTTCTTTGATTAACACAATTCGTTCAACGTAAACAGAATTGTTTTGTTTTTTTATAAACATTGTACTTAATTTATTATTGTGTGATATGGATGCAACAATAGTATAAATATTTCTATCATTTTGTTTCTCGTCAAATCATATACTTTAAAAAAGCACTGAACATCGAATTTAAAAAGACCAACTCGAATATGTATAAAACAGCTAGCTTTAACTAAGTTCAGTTTCAATTTCTGGTATACCCCTTTTGCGTAAGTTAAGTTGGCATTGCTTGTTGGGTGGCTCTTTTTATAACGCAACATTTAACATTTTAGCATGCAAGAAAGAAAAAAGAAGGACGAATACAGATATAATACGTGTTGAAGTTTTTATTAAATTTCAATGTTAAAAAGTTCAACGTTCAAGAACACAGTAAATGGCAAATGCCGATTATTTTTTCAAAAATGCATATATTTGAGGGCAATTTATTTCTACCGTTATTTAAAAGTCACATAAAAACAGAACTTCATTCAATATTATCAAATTTCGAGCAACCCATCATGGTAACATCAAAATGGTGACACAAAACAAAATTACAAATGTTCACTTAATTTGACCATGCAAGGTTGTAACATTTCAGTTTCTCGTTCCAATGTTTTCTTTTACAATTTTCAAAAAATATCCTGCCTTAATTACAACATAAGCAATAATCATATTATGTGTAATTACTCCCAGAAAAAAAGAACGAAATTACATGTAAATGTAGTAAAGGAATGTATAATCAGATCAGAGTTTTTGTCATCCTCAGGTACAAAGGCTTGGGGACTATTTTTACACGTTGTGTATAATAGAGGCTTCTTTCTCGTAAAGAATCGAGTGGGGCAATTAGAGTTACCGTTGAACTTTTAATGACTTTCTGTTTTGTTTCATTCTATAGGGAAATTAGGTTTTAGAAGATAAACTAAAGATTAATCGTATTAGTATTCCTTTGGTATTGCTCATAGATTCCTTGAATGTGAAACTAAAAAACTGAATTTACATGGAAATATTTCAAAAAAAGAAGAAAATGAAAAACTCAAAGAAAGATTTAAATCCATTTGAACTATACTACTCACAATATCAAAGAGACTAAATAAGATATGTTAATTCAAATCCAAAAACTTCATTAACTGCTGCATTAAGTCGGTTTAATTTGTATTCCTTTTTATTTTTTGTTATTATTATTTTTTGTTAAATATTATAGTGATCGATTCAACTGTTTTTTTTTAAATAATTGTGAGAAATCTAGACGCACTTTGACATTTTCCTTAAAACCATTTTAAGTATGATATTTTTCGTTTTAACACAATTATACAATTATAAATACTCTGGCAGTAGTTGTGCGAATTCTGAAAATGAGCGAATATATTATAACAGAACAAAGGGGAACAGGACATATGAGCCGCGTCACGACAAAACCAACATGCTGTGCGCTATCAGTTTCTCTATTTGTAATAGAGTTTGTAAGCGAACAGCATGGATCCTGATCAGACTGCGCGGACGCGCTGGCTGGTCTGGATCCATGCTGGTCGCAAATGCACTATGTTGGTTTTGTCGTGGCGCGGCTCATATATCTTTTATTTTAAGACATATATTAACAAAATATACATTTTGTAATACCATGTGCGCAAACAAACAATACGTTTACAATATATTCATACGAAACACATATTTTCAACTATAAAGGAAGGTTTGATGCTTGAATGGTGATAATATCTTAGTTTGGTCACTAAGGAAATTATATAACAGAATATCATTAAAATTGTGCAATAAACAAAATTATCATAAGTAAATATGTTCAGCCTATTTTTACTTCTTGTTGCGCTTGCTCCCGTTTTCTTCCCGAAATCTTCAAAACGGAAAAGGAAAACAAATAGTTCCACAACAGACTATTTAGTTTTTTATGGCTGTTTTGGTGAATTTTTTTGAATTGTTTATTGAAGGTAAGTCATGATATAGTCTTATTAAATATCCATATTCTTTATATTTTTGCGTTACTTTTCAATTATGCAAATCACGAGCTTTCTTCTGGGATATATAAACAGTTTTTAAATATTCATAGGAACGGGAATTTATTAGCCAATAACTTACTGAGATTTACGGAAAATGTCTTACACTTTACAGTCAGTCCAATTGAATCTCGCTTATGGGAATTTAATCTACACACTACACGTTCTTCGGCTGGCATTTCGTCTTGAACGTATGTAAAAATCTGTACACATCTCCAGCGGGTATCATACGTGTTTCAACTACATATATCTTTTGTAAATATCTAGTCCCCTAGGAGTCTATTCTTTTCAATTTTACATTTCCTCCAATTGCTATGTTAGCAATTTGCACGATGCAAGTTATGAATTTACCGTTACAAACACAAACACACAAATTGTTACAAATGTCTAACAACCGAAGAGGTCAACATCATTTTCATGATTCATTATTTTACGCCAATACGATTTAATACTTGAAACAAAACATGAGCAGAAATATTTGTTATACATTACACTTAAGACATTTATAATTAGTAAGCAATTAAACATACTTTCAATGATAGACAATATTCCAATTTACTTCGCTTCACACACAAACATGCTGTGTAATCAATAAATTCTGAAAGTTGCATCTTATTCCCTCAAATTTAAATTTTATGTTTACGTCATTATAAGATTATGAGCTTATTCGTCTTATCTTTATGATATGTTAGTGTCAACAGATTTTTTAACAATTTTACTCTATTATAATTACTTACAAAGACACAAGTCCATAACATTACAGTTTTGTCATTAATTCATACGTTATAAACGAGAAAGGATGAATTTTATAATATATTCATTGCTTAACTTTTCATTTAGAATGAGGTTTTATGAACAGGGCCTGCAACATTTTCAAATATGCCGTTTTGAACTTTCTTTAGGGATTCTTATTTTCTCTATCTCAATTATATCCTTATTAAACGTTGGTCAAGTCAGTTGACAATTCATATAACATCAGCTATGCTGTCCAATTCAAACTTTGTTAGATACCTTAACAAATGTTCAATGATTCTTTCTATATGAGCATTAATTGTTCTTGGATTTACCATTTGATTTTTCATAGCTTATGACCGTCTAAACACAAACCGTTCAACACCACACAAGGTACTCAAAATTACGATACGAAGACAGGTAGTGACATTTCAATTTCTTTAATTTTCGGGTTCTTCTTCACGAATTCACAATCTTAACTTCTTGAATTCACGATTTTAATGTACAGAATTCACGAATTCACGATTTCAACTACATGAATTCAAGATTATAACTACACGAATTTATCTCTTCATTTTCACGAAGTTGAAATCGTGAATTTCGTACAACATAGATATATATTTCTTAAATGTTTAAGGTCTTGACTTTTTAGTAAGTCTCTGCTTGAATACATTCTCTCTTTACACAGCTCATTAAACTTCTTCCAATGAGCACATTAAATGATATACTTTCCTTCAACAATCCCATCTATGCCGTTTAGAATGGTAGCTTATGTTTGCACGAAGGTTACACATTAAAGTAGAATCTTGAAGAAAAATAGTCAAAATTTCAAGTGAAATCAATTAGAACAATAAGGACTCAAATACGTTAATTTTCTGAACGTCGGTGACAGTAATGATAATGCTTTGGCATCAGTGTGGCGCTAGCTAGGCCAATCAACACTTCAATGTGCAGGCTCTTCACGGCTAGAAGCGTAATCTATTCATTTTTAAACTGCAATCATTTAAACGAACAACTAAATGCTTAAAAATTGATTCCAGACTTAGGCATATCATAAATTCAATGACACGTGAAGGTAAAAAGTTACAATTTTAAAGCCAAAACATAAATGTTAGCAAAGTTTTAAAATATTATTTCCCGAGTATTTACAAATTAAATAACCATGTACATTTATAATAACAAAGCAGCCGCATTTTAATGAGGAGTATGTTCTTAAAAATAATTGTCTTTTTATATGTAAAACCCAAAAGTTTTATCAGAAAAGGATTAGTTTTGTTTTTGTGTGTCGTAGATGTTTGTATGGCACGAATACATCGACAAATATAATCTTAAGAACAAATGTCATATTCATGTCTTTCCGAGATGGGGTAAATTGATTTATTGATACGGTGCATGTTATGAACTTCAAAAGGCTAAGAATTGTTTTATTCCAATTTCAATTCATAGAAACTGTCAAAACAAATGACTCAGCATGTAATGGGAAAGTGTTATAACTAAAACTATGAAGATGCTTATTTTCAAAATATCAAAGAATGGGTCGAATTTGGTGACACTATGATACTTTTTGTTTTACTCGTTGCGTTCAAAATTGTATTTCCTTTTACAAGTCTTTTAAAATGTTTTACAATTAAATTTAATAAATGACAATTTTCTAACTGTTTAATGCATATAACTTGACAATGAGCAATATGAATATGACAAGAAATATCTACGGATATCACATGCTGCCATATATTTGGCATGAGTAAAATAGTAATATATAAATCTTCTATTGTCTTCTAGTATTCATATGAAGAGTGTTTATTGCACA